GAAGAAAGAAAGAAAGAAAGAAAGAAAGAAAGAAAGAAAGAAAGAAAGAAAGAAAGAAAGAAAAGAAAAGAAAAAAGAAAAAGAAAAATATAAACAATCTGATTTCCTTGGGGAAGGTTATTCTAAAGGGGTTGGAAGTATACCCTGGATATATGGTTTTATGTGTATAATATTCTGGAAAAAAACTTGTTAGGATTTCTTGCAAAAAAAAAAGTGTATTGAATTGATTGGAGAAATCCCCTTGTCTCATTAGAATCTCAGAGCATCTCCTAGGGTTTGTGGCAAATATGAAGATATGTATTTAATAAGCCCACAGAAAATTTTCTATCACTTTCCATCAACTTGAAAAGTGCAATTCAGATGCAAGAAACTTAATGATGCATTTCTTGGAAGCTTCTCTTCCCTACCCCCTCCTACAAAGTGTAGGATCTGCAGCCACTAATAAGGGTCCAGGCCTTGAGTGTACCTTGGAAAGTACCCTTCTCTGGTTACTGTACTTACCCTTACAGCATACACTCTGCAGGAGAGTTAGGCATAACTGTTCCACTTGTAATGGCTTCTACATCCTCAGGAAATAACCTGACTTTCACAACTGCCTTTTATACAAACCATATTGTGAAGATTTAGTGTCATATGATACCAGGTAAGTTTCTGAATGTTTTTTTTGTTTGTTTGTTTTTTGTTTTTTGTTTTTTGTTTTTTTTCTGGTACCAGGAACCGAACTCACGACCTTGCACTTGCCAGGCAGGCGCTTTGCCGCTGAGCTAAATCCCCAGCCCCTCTGAATATGTTTTAACATATTTCTACTTTGGCAGGGCTTGTCCTCTGAAATTTAGATTTCTGTATAGATTTCTGTGTAAGCATAGTTCTTCAATGGCTTTACAGAAAATTTTAATATTTAGATTATCCATTTTTCTGTCCTTTTTAATCCTTACAATAATATTGATTTTCCCATACACTTTAAGAAAAGAAATTTTCTTAAACTGATACAGAAGAAATAGGACTCTGAAACTGTTAGATGTCAAATATGCCCATTTCCTGGTCCCACTTTTTGAGGAATGAAGTCAAAAACCAAAGGATGAAATTAGGAGAATTTTAGTAGAAATAAGGTGAGAAGAATACTTCCTGGCTTTCCAGGAGGGGTCCTGATTGGGGTGGCCACCAAGGCCCTTTGTCAGGGGTAACTTGTATAGCAAAGTCACAATGTGGGTACAACACGGGTCAAACTACCTCTAACTTATAGGATTACAAGTACAGTCATTTAGCGAATATTGATCCAAGAGAGAAATGATTTTTTTTTTCCAGTACCGGGAACTGACCTCACAACCTCGTGCTTGCCAGCAGGTGCTGTGCCACTGAGCAAAATCCCCAGCCCCTCAAGAGAGAAACGAGTCATGTCCCAAGGATACATGGAAAGAACAAAGGCATTTTAGGGAAGGGAAAGGGCCAGATCCTCTGGTCTCCCAACTTGTCTACTGATACCTGTCTGGACTTCCTGGACCAAGTGGTGCTAATTACCATATCATCTCAAATTATTATTTATCTCATAAGGAGGCATTCAGGCCTGGCCATTGCACTTTTATCTTGAGGCCTGGCCTTCTTCACATGTGTCTCCCATCAAAATTCTGATGTCTTTACTTTTGTGCTAGCTTTCTAGAGGGCTCAACATTTCTCTAACTGTATCTTAATTTCTATGAAACTTAGCCGCCTACAGTAAAACTATGAATGACTTCCTGCTTCTCCTAAAAGTCCCAAATCCTTCACCTGACACAAAAGCCCTCAAGAGCTCTTTCCTCGTGGCTTTTCCAGTGTCTTCTGTCCTCCTTAGCTTCCCATCCTTGTCCGGTGGTACCACAGCATCTTTCTGTTCCTTGAACTTGCTCTGCTTCAATACATTCATACTGTTGGACCATGCAGCACTATTTCACTTAGCGTTAGTTGGATCAATCCTGAGTTAGTGATAAATAAATTAGCCCAGCTGTCATCTAACCTGCAATACTTTTCCTAACCCTCAAGACTAAGTTAGTTGACTTTTTGTTTTGTCACATGCCATTTGACATTTTTCCTACGACTGATGAAACTGTGAAATAATTTCATGTTATCTGACTTTCTCAACTAGTCCATAAGATGTTTATAGGTAAAGATAAAAATCATTATGGCTACTATTTTATCCATCATGCACACACTAATATACATATGCATTCAATATGTTAAATACATAAGTGAATTGAACATCAGTAAATAGTTGGGAAGTACATTAAGGTGTCAGGAAGGAAGATATATAAATTTAGAAAACATTTGTGCATGGATGGTATGAACAAATTAAAAGCATTTTAAAACATCTCTTGTCACCTCTACCATAAAAATAATGGTCGCTTAGAATGGCTATATCTTGCAGCCTTCCAAAGAATCCAGGTGTAGTTATGTGGCAAAATAACCTATTCTGCTTTATAACTGAAGCCTCCTACATCACATTCTGGCAAAATTGTTTACAAGCAGGCCAAAGAATGCCTATTCCCCCTTCCTGCACTTCCTTCTTTCCGAAATGTAAGTGCTAGTTGTGGTTAAAGAATATAAAGTGGCCTTGGAAATTACGACCATGTATTACAGATAATAGAATGAGGGTGAAGGAGAAATACCTAACACTCAGAGTATCTTAACCTTCCTGAACATTTATATGAAGCAGATATTTATGTTAACTTACTTAATTCAATGTAATTTTGAATTGATCTTACCCTACATTAGCACAATTATGGTACCAGAGGAATACATGTGATTCATCAGTGAAAGACTGTCATTTAAATTTAAAGTAATTTCTTTTTAAAAGTTAGAATTTTATAAATGCTTAACCTATTTATCTAATGAAAGCCCCATGGAATTGTAAAATGGAAAAAGAAAAACCAATGCTCTTTTAGAAACAAATAAGGATCTTCTCAGTAGATCTCAGGAGCTTCCAATTACCAACACCATCCATGTCTTCCTGTGTTGCATCTACTCTCAAACTGCTCTTTCAAGGTCTCAAGTTGTCTTTCTCCACCATTAGAATATAAAGTTCTTCAAGGAGCTGGGGATTTAGCTCAGTGGCACAACATCTGCCTGGCAAGCATGAGGTCATGAGTTCAATTCCCGATACAGGAAAGAAACAAACAAACAAAAAATAGAATACAATATAAAGTTCTTCAGAAATGATATCTGAACCATGGTTTTGAAATAACACCACTCACACAGAAAGCTATCAGTATAGACTGAGTAAATGAATGAATTCCATAAAATTTTTTTGCTTGTTTTGTTCCAGGGCCTCTGTCCTTCAGAATAATCCCAATTTAAAGACAGTAGAAAGATAATTATCCAAGTATCTTTGCTTGAATTATTGAAGTTGCTGACTCCAATCTGCTATGAAACGACTACATAAGAATTCATTTCGTACATGATTTTTACACCTCAATGCCCAACGTTACTCTTCCCACTTGCTGCTGATGTCCTAGTGTCACCTTCTACAATGCATCGGCCCCCTAATTCCTTTTAGATCATATCAATCATCTCACAAATATCCTTTCACTTCGAAATAAAAGCAATGGTAATGCACTAAAAGTGCTACAATTCTGGAACAATGGATATTGGGGGGGTGCAAGAAAGCATGAACTTTTTTAGCTGAAATCAATTTAAGCACATTTTAATGTTCAGAATTTTTCATTCTCATTCAAATGAAAATTCCTCAAAATATGCTGTCTCCATTTGCAGAGCAAATCATTACAGAGAGAAGTGTATGATATCTATTCATCTCTAGCACATATTTTCCATTTGAAGACATGTGTCAGTAGGGAAGTATGTTGTTTCCTTCATTTTATAAATTATTTTAAAATGCTAAATCAAGTTTGAACTATATGCATCATACAAATGTCTTTGTACTGCGTAATAAATTATGCTGGCTGAATATTTTTCTTAAATTAGTTTTAATAAGTAAGGAATCTAAATGGAAATGAATCATATGCTTGTGCCACTCCTGTCAAAATGAGTTTACATAAAACGACTATGTATTAATATTGCATAAGAAGACCTTTAGGATATAAAGAAGGTAGTTAAAGCATTTATGAAAAGAATAATTTCCTGAGTTAAATTTTAGGAGCAGTATTATATTCTTTGATTCACTTACATTAAGTACTAACATATTAAAAATTCCAAAGTGGAAATCCTTATACTAAAATATTGTATATTTCATTTTGAAAAATACGTCGGTTTTTCGCAGAGCTTTCTTTTGAATATTTTCTCATTTCTTTAAATGGATCAAATGCAGAATAATCTTGCTTTTGGTCTTTCTAGCACTTTCCCTAGTCTTGTGGGTTCAGCCCTACTCCTGATAAGGAATAGCTATGTAAATTACTCTCATGAAAGAACAGACAAGATGTCAGAACTTGTAGGTTATTTTCTCAATTCTGTTCACTGGAGTAATTTGCCCAGATTTTGCAAACTTCACTTTTTCTCCAATGTAGCACTACTTTTAGTTATGCCATTCTAAGAACCTTGGGTTAATTAGTGCACATTAAAAGCATATATTTAAGAGTTATTATTATTAATGAAATGGGGAGATTTGTGACTATAATTGGGAGTGAATTCTTCCAGGGTTTCATTGAAAAATTTAGTAGAATGGCAATAGGTATAGCTAGTGGTAACACGTTTGTCAGTATTCATGAATTCCTAAGTTCAATTTCTATCACCACACACAAAAGAAATATTCAGTGGTAAAGATATTTCTTTTTGTCCCAAGGTCAAAAACTTTGTGTCTAAGTGATGAAAAATTGCAAAGTTTCAGGATTGTACCCTTCCATTTAAAAAAATAAAATCTTGCTATTAGACTTAAATGTTTTGGAACCGCATAGTCTACTCAAACACTAGCAGCATTTAGGACAAAAATTGGCAGAGAAAGATGCTGATAACATTCAGTGAGTTTTTAGCCCCGATTAACCCATGTAGAAGTACATTGTGGAGGAAGCCTACTGTTGTGATGCAGGCTACTGGTGTCAGCACGTTCAATACCGGTGTCCTCTGCCAAAACAAGAGCATGTGCTTTCTTCCATCCAGTGAATCCCTGAAGTCCCTGCCTAGAGGATGACCGTTGTTTCAACCACACTGTAGTGAAGCAGCTTCCCGGGTGATATCTGTCAAAAGAGTTTTTAAAAACTGATTGCTATTTTTTCCTTTTAAATTTGATTCTGTCACTCAAGGAAATTTCTGTTAGGTTTCTGGCTGTCATGGTGATAACAGAGCAGAGAACTCCGCGACATACACATAACAAGGGCTAGAGTTTGCAAAGATAGTTTGGTAAGCTACTCAATGTATGGACAATAGCTTGCATTCTGATTGTGTCTCAAGGTCCCCCGCAAAGCCTCATGCAGTTGTAGGTGAGACTTTTCAGAGGTGGCTGCATCTAAAGTGTGTGATGTGGGGTTAAGTGTGTGATGTTGGGATCAAGGGTGTTACTGCTAAATTAGTCCACCAACTGGTTCTGCATTGTTCTGGGAGTTGATCATGGGAAGGCCCTGTCTGGGTGTGAGTGCTGCGCTACCTGTTTGGATAGAATATAAGGGAAATAAAGAAGAGAGCTGTTGGGTTTACCTGCTACTTGCTGCTCTTGCTGCCTCCTGCCTTTTGCCTTCTTCCAGGGTCCAGCTCCAACCTACGGAACAGGCAGAGGCGGGAGGGAATGAACTAAAGACAGAAGGGTCTGGAGGACTGGAGAAGGTAACCAGTGGCTTTGTTTATTGAGCAAAGCACTTAAGTACAGATTTGTTAGGCAGGCAGCCAAACCCTTGCCCTAGATTCAACCCCAAAGTTCCTGCTTCAGTTACAATCATTGCTTAGGGACATAATGACCTGTTCAGGAGCACTGACTCTCGGGATAGACCCAGTGCTTTCCCACAGATCAGCCCATTACTTTCTGCCCTTACAAGGAAGTTGCGCCATTGTTTTGCCATGGGGAGGTTCTGTGTGGCCTCGCCCAGCTCGGTCCCCAACATCCTTGCACACCATGGACTATTTTTCCTCTGCAATGTTAACCTGCCTTACAGCCAGCCAGCTATGAGTTGAAACCTCTACAAACTGTGAGCCACAACAGACCTTCACTCTTCTAACTTGGAGTGTTGCACAATTTGTCTCAGTAAGGAGAAAAGTAACTACAACAGCCTGTAACAAATGAATAAGAAGAATCCCTAAAACCCTGGGAAAACCTGGTATATAGAGTTGTTACCGCATTATAATACTTATATTGTCCAATTCTCAACCAAAATTGCAGAGCATTCCAAGAAACAAAAAACTTGGGGCCTCTCAAGAGAAGAAAAGAAAATGACAGAAGCCATATGAAGCCATGTCACTGGATTTAGCAGAGAGAATGTCTGAAAAATATTCAAAAAGTGAAAGGGTACACGATATTCCTTTGAAGTGATGAAACAGTTTTGAAGAAGACAGAACAGTTTCGCTATATGTGAGTACACAGCTGTTGAATCATATAATTTTTACAGTGTTAATTGCACATTAAGAAATTTCACCTAAAAATAACCTAAACAAAACAGAGACAAGTAAAAGCCCTAATATCACAGAGGTCAGTACAGAGCAAATATTTTATACTCAAACTCAAACTCAAAACAACCAGACTGGAAGTATTTTTGAGGAATAATGTAAATTAGTAATACTCATAAAAACTAACAAAAGGGAAAGAATACAAGTAGATGATTTTAAAGTGAGATGTGACAAATAGACAATAAACCAAAGAACTTTCAAACTTTCTTAATTAGATAAATGCAAATGCATTAGCAAGAGTTTTGATTGAAGGTGTTCAAAACTAGAGGCCATTGCAAAGAGCTGGTGGAAAAAGTCTGGGGAAAAGGATTGAAAAGAATTTAGGAAAATTCAAGAACCTTATGCATAGACATACTAAGCCTCCACATTTTAGTAATGAATTTATATTTACTTCACGTAAATAACTCCAAAATTTGCTTAGAAATTTCCTTGAAATCCTTCTTAACCTGCTGAACTGTGTATGTTTGGGAAGAAATCAGAAATTATGGTTGGAAGCAAGGGATTCAAGTCTAGAAATCTAAGCATCTCTATGAGCAGCTGCCCTTTACAGAGAAGTTTAAAGTTTGACAGACCCGTTAAAGTGGAGAGATTCCAAACACCATGACTTTCCACTGTAATCCAAGGAGTCACATCTCAGAAGTAAAAGTTGTACCCACAGAATGAGAAATTAACCCTGAAAATTAAAGACTTAATTGACAGTTGAACACAATAACTGAACCAAAATGCAGAAAGCTAAGCAAATACAGTGAAATGGTAATTACAGTGAAAATAAGATCTAGGCACAACTTTAATTTTAGTACACTGTAGCAGTTTTACAATGCATACCGTAGTCGCTGAAGCAACACATGAAAGAAAATAAAATGACCTATAGATAATAGGGTGAAGGAGTATTAGGGACCGGCATAGAAAGAGAATGAGCACATAAAGGAAAAGAAGCAAAAGACAAGGAATGGCAGCGATCAACACAATGCTTCCTAAATCCACAGAAAATACCCTATGAATGCAAAGGAAATAGAACAGCATGGTCAAGTTTTCAAGGCAGAAATAGGTGTGATCAAAAAATACGGTGAACTTTTAGACCTTTTTAAAAAAATTATTGTAATAAAAGACATATCATCATCAATCATTCTCAAAACTCTCCCTGTACTTTTAACACACTAATGCCATTCTGCTTGCCTCTTTCGGAAGCAGTTCTGGAAGTCCTCTTTCCTGAGTGTCTTTATGAGGCCTAATAAGAATACAGAATGCTTTTACAGAGTGCCATCCAATGAAAATCCAGGCTTGTAGAAACATTTCTCTGTGTCTTTAAACACTTATTCAACAGTCAGGAAAGGTAAATGTTGGAATCAGCTGAGAACACAGAGGCAGCCATGACAGTGCAGCTGAAGACATGAAAGAAGACCTAAGAACTGCATCAGAAAACAACAAAAAGTTCGGGATACATGTCTTCAAATCAAGGGGGAGTATCTTGAGAAGTAATAGCAATGTGCCTTTTCCTGTAGTCACATTCTTTTTTAAATTTGTATTTTCACTGTAAAATCACACCCATTTTCAAGGTGGTTAGAAACAGAAGACAAACAAACAAGGAGAAATAAAAGCATAGGAAAGCATGGAAACACTAAGCATAGGCAAGCTGCTGTGGCTATTTTGGTATCAAACTAAGTCTTAAAGAAAAGTGTATTGACAATGATAGAAAAACAATTTTCAGCAAAGAATGGGCATATTGGTAAGCAAAGACCAACGGTGTCAAATGTGTGGCAACTCTAATTAAAGCTGAAAGTTATGGAACAAAAGTCGTCATAGATACAAAGTGAAACAGACAAATTCACACTTGTAGTTGAACACTGTTAATATGCACTTCATGTATTTAATAGTACACTTGTGAGGGCTGGCGAGTTAGCTCAGCTGCAAAATGCCTACCTGGCAAGCACAAGATAGTGAGTTCGATTCCTAGTACTGGAAGAAAAACAAAAAAACAAAGAAACAAATAATAGTATACTGGACTTACTGCCATTGTCTTCCATGTTTCTTGTTTCTGTTTTTTCGATATGTATACATAATAATTAAATTAATACTGCCTTATAAGATAAATAAATCAATCTGGTGCTGGGAAAAAAAAGAAGGTGGATAGAAGTGGTATAAAATAATTGAAATGTGTACGTACATGTACCAATTGCCTATAGTGAGTGTCATGAGAGGTACTGCAAACATGTACTAGTAAAAGTCAAACAAAATGCTTAAAAACTACTGGTTTACCATAAACACCAAGTACACAAAAACAATTTTAAAAATATTATTAATCTTGTATATGGAAAGATTCAAACCATGCTTTTATTTGATGTGACCTAACAAAGATAACTAGAAATTCATATCTAATTATAAAATAATGCATTTGGAATATTCTCTTATAAATCTTATGCTATGTCACAAATTAGGCCTCAACAATTTTACAATTTGATAATTTAGAAAGTCTGCACTCTAATCATAATCCATTTTCACTTTTTTTTGTACTGGGAATCTAACTAATGACCTCAGGCTTGCCAGGCAAGTGCTTATGCCGCTGAGCTATATCCCTAGCCCACAATCGAATTAAGTTTAAAATGAATCACAAGATAACTACGAAAGTCTTATGGAACCAGAAAATTGGAAGGACATCCCTGAATATTCTATTGTTCAAATAAATATCGCAAAAGAAACTATATGTGTGTCTATGATTTATAGGAGTCATGTGGAAAGACCTCATGAACATTATGGATTTCAGCCAAAGGAGTGCTTAGGAGTAAATGCATGGTGTTAAGTGCTTATATTAAGAAGAAAAAAAATCTTAAAATCAATAGCCTAATAACACATAAATGAGTTGAAAGCCATACATGATTATAAATTGGAAAACTCAATAATAACAACTATTTCACTCAAATTAATCTATAAATTCATTTAGTACCAATCAAAATCTATTTTTTTTTTTTTTGGTAGAGAGTAATCATGAACTTGTTAGTCTCCTGCTTCAGACTTCCAGAATGCTGAGATTACAGACTTGCACTACTATGTCCAGCAATAATTCATAGAACTTTTTCTGTAAAAGTTGGCAAACTGATTTAAAACTGATTCAAATATAGGAATTCAATATACCTAGAACAAGTAAAGCAATCTGGATAAATAATGTGGAACATTAATTTGATCCAATGGCTCACTCTAAGGCTACATTAAACAAAATTCTGTGGTGATTTTGCAGGGGTAAATATATAAACAACTTGAACAAAAGGGAAATTCTAGCAAAGTGTCCACCAGTGGCAGTGAGATTTTACATAGGTGTAAAGGTAATGTGATTGGGGAAATATTAATTCTTTTAACAAATGATGCCTTATGCAATGCAGTCTGACTGTACTCTTTTAGTGATTGACAGCTGAAAACTTTAAATCTCACTTTCTTTTGCTCACCTTCTGCCTTTTAGCTGGGCAGATTGCCAAAGAAATCCCAGGTGCTTCTTCGCTTCCTTAGTGTTAGTTTGGAGTTTAATTCCAGTTGAAGAAACTTCACTCTGGCTTCGTTCCCTCAACACTATCTAAAGTCCAACCCAGAATCCTTTCCAAGTTCTCCCAAGCCATTTACAAATGAGACTGGTGAGCTGGCCCTATTCTTCCCAGAAATCCTAGTTTTGCAAATAATAAAATGTACTATAATGTCTTGGTAGGTGTGTTTAGCATCATCAGAGTTTACATCTGAACTAAGATTTGTGTGAGATTCAGTGTTGTTTCTGCAGGGGTGGCTATAGCAGCAGGATAATTGAATATCCACATAAAAATATAAAACTGAACCTGACCATAACATCCTATGATCAAATCAGTTGGAGAAGAAAACTGAGAGAATGGTAAAAGAGGCTGTTATAGAATACCTAGGAAACAATGGCTGCAACAAGGTTTTTAAAAAGAAAACTAGATGTCACCAAAACTAAAATCTTCTCTTCCATAAAAGTGAAGGATAAGAAAAGACACAGAGTGACAGAAAGTATTTGCAGCACATGGATCTGACAAAGTTTAGTATATGGAAGAAATATATGCATACATATGGTTTGATCATTGTATAATTAATACGTATATGTAC